ATCCACATAGAATGCATTCCTCAGCTTTTCTACGGTTTCAGGAAAATGGCTTTCATTTTGTTCCAAATGGTAATCTAGAACGGCAGCTAGTAAGAAAGGGCTGCTCGTAAGTCCAAACACTACTCGTCGGTGACGATAAATTTTTTTGTTTTCTTTCCTTATAATCTTCCCACCATATGAATCTAAGAAAATCTTGGTCTTCTTTGGCCACAGATATCTGTAAAAAGGCCTTTTTTATATCCGAAACTACACCAATTTCTTTCTGACGAAATCTCATAAGTAATGGAGGAATTTTTTCGATAAGATTTGGTCCTGTTTCTAGACAGTCGTTGAGTGAAAGTGAGTTCTTACTTCTACACGAAGCATCAAATACAGGGCGTACCTTCGTAGTAGAATTTCCTTTAAAAATACCTCTATGAGGCAAATAATGACAAGGATTTCCCAATTCACTATCTGGTACTTCTTCGATGATAGTTTCCTGTAACCATTCCTTAAATACAGCTTCATAGTCATTGTATTTTCCTTCTTTAAGAAGTTTCTGAGTAGTAGTTATGCATCTTTTTTCAGCTATATCTTTGTTTTCACTTAACGTCTCGTACGTCTCTAACCAAGGTAGTTTGACGATGTAACGGCCATTTTCATCTCTCTGAACGGTTTTTCGAAAATGCTGAAGAATGGACTGTTCCGTTTCTTCTTTAGTTCTTGTTTCAGTAGGATCCTTTATACCTATAGTATCTAATTTCCACAAATCAGCCACAGAAGAATTTTTAATCAGTAAAGATGTCACTAAGTGGGATGAAGTTTCGTCAAACCTTTCTTCGGACATGTTTCCCATGATAACCCATCCTAAATAAGTTTCACATGCAATCAAATTGGATTTCAATGTACATATTCTTCCTGTAAATATATTACCACAATAATCTGCACCTATTAACAGATCAATATCAGGACAACCTTCTCCATAGTCAGTGAGCCAAATTTTATTTTCTCTTAACGTTTTCTTATAAAGGTCTCTTCTCAACCGAGAAATGATCTGCTGATCCAAAACCTTTATGTTACAGGAGAAGTCCCCTTTCAAAGATATCAGGTTAACGTCATAAACATAATGCTCCTTTTTCTCAGTTGTAATCCCCCCAAATAGAGAGTGAATTAAGATTCTCTTTTCTGTAGGCTTCAAACCTAGTTTCTTAGCTGTTTCTTTAAGAATGTAAGAATGTTGTGAGCCAGTGTCAATAAGTACACGTACTTGTAGCTCTTTCCCTTTAGTCTTCAGTTTCACTTGTAACGTTTGAAGCAATATTTCATCAGAAGTGCATAAGTTAGACGAACTAACATCAGACGACAACGTCTTCTCAAGTTCCTGTACGTCACCTTTCATCTTATTTCCAGGGAGTTCTGGGCACATCAAAATCGAATGTTTTTTACTGCAAAGGACACATTTGATGTTGGACTTGCAAAATTTAGAACGATGTCCAATTTTTAAACAGACAAAACAGGCCTTTTTGTTTTTTAAAATTTCTTGTTTTTTCTTGAAGCTTGAGTTTACGTGCAGAAAAGCAATCTTTACTTTCTTGCAATTTATCACAAAATATACAAAAATTTTTTCTTTTATTCTCTGTTGTTCCCGCAAACAAATCTGCTGCCGTCGGTGGATTACTAGGAACAGAACGCTGTATTTTTTCCTTCTGAAATTTGTGTTCCTTACTAACAAATCCCTTTGCTAAACGAATACGTTCTTCCCCTTCAACTTCAGCTTTCAGGAACAATAATAAATTTTTTAATTTCTCCCCATAAGCATTTTCTTCAGAAGAATCGAATTTGGTGTTAACTATAGGGTTTCTTAACCAAACTCTAAAAATGTCTTCCGGAATACACGATTCTACAAGAGGGAAAAGTATAGCTGAATATGTATCGGATGTTAAGCCTATGGACTCCAAGGCTCTTAGATGTGATTCTAATTTATCATATAATTTCGACGTGTCTAACTTTCTTTTTTCTTCGGTAACATTTTTTACAACAAGATTTAAAAGTTCGCGTATATAAAATTCAATTAGTAATTCCTCCCTGCCGAATCTTGATTTTAAACATGCAATAGCTTTATCATAATTTTCACATGTCGGTGGGTAACTATCAACAATATCGCGAGCTCTAGAGCCTTCCTGGATCCAATTAGAAGATTAAGGAACAGCGCAATCCGCAACATTAACTGAAATGCCTTAGAATCAGTAAAGATAATTTTACTCTAGCTTATACCGTCTGTTATACACTAAACGTGCATGCATAAAGCATATAAAAAAAGGTTTGTGGCTTTGAGGTCCGGATTATACAGTCAAAAGTCCGGATAATGGACTCGTCGGGACTTCGGCGATTCCGGATTATAGATCATCAGTTTAAATCTGGTAAGATGGCATGCAGAAATTAAAAAATATGAAACCGTAATTTATGAAATAAAGAGCAATTATGATCTAAAGGGTATCAAAATTTACAAAAAAAAAAAAAAAAAAAAAAAAAGCTTAATATTTATTTGTTTACTAAATCCTTTATCCATTTTTTGCAGCAATTCCACTTTTTGTTTGATGGACATCGAAACATGCTTTCCCTTTGTAGATCCAGCATCGGAAATTCTATTTGACATAATCGAAAGTTCCAACTTACTTTTATAAAATTGCTCTAACCAGTCTGCAAAAAATAATAGGCCGGATCCAATTCAAAGATTAAGGACAACGCAATCTGCAACATTAACTGAAATAGATAATTAGATAATTTTAGCTTAGCTTATACCGTCCGTTATACATTAAACGCGCATGCGTGAAGGTTTTGCGTTGATGCTTGCGCAGAAAGTTTGTAGCTTGAGGTCTGGATTATAGATCATTCCGGATTATGAGTGTCCGGATTAACGACTTTTGACTGTAGATCATTCCGGATAATGGACGCCCGGATTACGGACTTTGTACTGTATTTTACTTGCTTTGCTATTAGGCACTACGCAGAAAGAGAGGAATACCCTGTGGAGGACTTCTTAAGGGAAGCTGGCTTGTATCCATATCACACGGGGAAACCACGAAAATGCCCATGCAGCCAGCCTGTCTCCGGGGACTTGAACCCCGGACCGAAACTATCACTGTTTGGTGGCTTTTACCGCTCAACCGCTGGTGAACCTAGTGTATGGGGATTATTTTCAGAATTTATTGGGTCTACCTAGGAAGACAGATAACTGCCCTTCTTCACTTTTTAGATCATTAAATAAACTGCAATTAGAGTTAAGATGTATCTGAGTTTTGTTTCTAACTGCAGCGTGAAGAGGCATGAAACTTGTATTTTCTCTATTTTCTTTTGGAATTAATTTGTGAATACTGTATTTTGTATTATTGTTATTCTCAACCATGTTTACAAGAAGCTTTTGCTTTCATTTTTATCAGTGGTGATTTTTTTCCAGAAGTGCAAGGACTGTAATATACAGTCAAAAGTCGTTAATTCGGACACCCATAATCCGGAATGATCTATAATCCGGACCTCAAAGCTACAAACTTTCTGCACATGCGTCGCGTTGACGCATGCGCATAGGCGATTACGCGTGCGTGTAAGACCTTTACGGCTGCGAATATGCGTGTGCGCATGCGCATAATATGTTTACGCATGCACGTTTAATGTATAACGGATGATATAAGCTAAGCTAAAATTATTTAATTCAATTAATGCTGCAGATTGCGTTGTTCCTTAATCTTCGAATTGGATCCGGCTTATTATTTTTTGCAGACTTTTAGAGCAATTTTATAAAAGTAAGTTTGAACTTTCGATTATGTCAAATAGAATTTCCGATATATTTACTAATATGTAAAGGATCTACAAAGCGAAAGTATGTTTCGAAGTCCATTAAACAGAAAGTGGAATTGCTGCAAAAAATGGATAAAGGCATATGCTTTGATTATCTAATCATTCCGAAATATGTTTATCAATTTCACGCTGCTCTGCTGGGGGAGGGAAACGACGCGGCGCTCAATGAATTGGAAGTTGATCTGTCAGCACTATCCTTATCTTCAGGGCAGATGTTTTTAATTTATTTGGCTTATAATTCCGTACTAAATGTAGTATTTCATCTCGATGTACTCCGTCTTTGATGATTTAAATCAAGTTCCTCGTCGTTATAATTGGCTTCCGATAGTGAAGAAAGTGATACAGAGGTTATTGAAAACGAAAAAATTTCGTTTGACGAATTAGTCGGTATTCTCGACACAGCAATTATAGTACTTGAACAGCGGAACTTTGTAACTAAACAAGAAATTATGTCTGTTTAATAGAATTAAAGAGAAAGTATTATCACATGAAATGAAGCAACTTAAACAACTTACATTGAAAGAAATGTTTAATAAAGTAAACAAATAAATAGTAAGCTTTTCTTTTTGTAAATTTTGATACCCTTTAGATCATAATTGTTCTTTATTTCATAAATTGCGGTTTCATATTTTTAATTTTATAATTTCTGCATGCCATCTTACCAGATTTAAACTGATGATCTATAATCCGGAAAAATCGATAATCCGGAATCGCCGATGTCCCGACGAGTCCGGGTTAACGACTTTTGACTGTATAATAAACTGTTAAATTCTGTGCATCTGGGCTAAATTTAATATTTATGTATTGTTTATATTGAAAAATATGCTTAAAACCTCTTTGTTCTTTAATTTTTGAAAGGAAATGCATTAAATAATATTTGAAAATTTTGAACTTTCTTTTTAAAGCATGAAGAGCAGCTAAACAAATTTTCATGTATTAGACAGAAAACGTTAGAGAGTATAAAGAATTCACACACAATATGTTTTAAATTTGAATAATTTATCTTTTATGATGTTTTTAAAATTCCCTGTAGTTATTCAATTTCAAAATGGTTAGAATTTTCCCCTTAAATAACTTTATTATTCATTAATGAAAATTTTAAATATTTGTCATATTTAAAACTAAAAAAAAAAATAATGTTTTCATTTTTCTTCTCTCCATCTCAGCTTTTGAAACTTGGCAAAAAAGTTTTGGGTCCAGCATTATTCCGATTTTTAATGAGGCATACATTTTATGGACACTTTGTTGCTGGTGAAAATGAAGAAGAAATTCTACCAGTTATTAAAAGAATGCATTCATTTGGTGTAAAAAGTATACTTGATTACAGTGCCGAAGAGGATATAAGTGAAGAAAAAGCAAGACAAGTTGAAATGAGGTATTAAAAAATAAGGAGGCAGATCTTATTTGTTTATTTACCTAAGCATATCTTGATTATGTAACTTTTACTAATTTATTTATTGTAATTTTGCAAAAATTTTCCATTCTGACCATCAAGTTGTAAATTGATTTATTACCTTCTAATCATACGTATTCAAAATGTGACATAAACCAAAACTCTGTTCACATAAGGGTATAAGTATATTCAAATTAAATTAAATTCAGAGTGCAAAATCAGTGAAAGTAGAAGTTAAAGTAAACCCAAAATAATAAAATAATTGGGTTAGTTAATATAAAATATTTACACACACATGCACAGGTGGATTAATATTACTTCAGAATCAGTATTAAAAACGAAATTCTTGATTTATTACAACAAAATTTCTCTTCTTTAGAAGTCTTTTTTTTGCCACATTATTAAGATTTTTAATGCCAGAAAAGCCTTTGCAGATTTCCAACAATCTGTCCATATTCACTGCTGCTAGCTTGATTATTATGCAGAATGCAAATCAGTAGCAAAGTGCATTTAAGTTTAAACTTTTATTGCTGAAAAATTGTGGGCAAATAAATTCTTGATGCATATTATGTAATTTTTAGATTAATTAAGTAAATTCTAATGCAATGAAATATGCATCCCCCCCCCTAAAAAAAGCAAGAATTTATCTAAAGCAAAATATTTCCTGAAATTCATGATCAATGTTTCGAGTATTGAAATTTTGTTTATTTACATTCAAAACTGAATGCAGATTACATGCATTCACAGTCATAAAATATAATTCTACCATAATAACAAAAACAAGAGTAAATTTTGTTATCTTGTTAGAATTAAATGTAAATTTTTAACTAAACCAATATCAGTAAAGTGAAAATGCCCCTGTAAGGAGAAGTTAACTAATTTTGCCATTCTTAATGTAAGTTGTAATATAATTACATTTTTCCTAATGTTTTCCTCTGTGTTGCTAACATCATGTTGTCTGGCCCCTCTCTTCTTTCTTCTTGGAAATTTCCATTTCTTATTTGCCATGGAAGTGAATCAGGAAAACAAGTGTTTTATAAGCACAAGCACAAAGCTGTCGATATACGAGAAATGGCAAAGCAGCATTCGTTCTCATACCTATGATAATGTGACCTCTGCTTGTTCAACTCTGTGGTGCTTCAGTGCCTTTGGTTCCTGCGTAGTGTAAAATGTCCCTGCACCATCCAACGAGAGCTACTGGATCGTCCTGTATTCAAGAGTGTGTGGCTGTTATTTTGAGCCTTTAGTGAAATGCAGTGGGGTCGACTTTCTCATCATCATTATTGCCCGAGTTAAAGAACAAGTGTTTCTGCTAGTGTTCAAGAGCCAGTTACTTTATATATGTTTGAAATTAGTAAGAATTTTATTACTATTATTATTAACACTAAGATGCTAAAGATTCTTTCTGTTATATTATGGAGCGTCTAATATTCAAGAAACCAATTTTTTTAGTTTCACTTATTATGGAGTGAACCATGCTGTGGTATTTTTGTAATATTCTATAACACTATATTCTGTAATTCTATAATTACTATGATTCTCTAAAATGCAACTTGTTATTGTTAAGCAGCTGGTGTACCTATCTCTGCATTTATGTGTTGCTTTATTTTGTTTTATTAAATGAATTATTGGCAAAAGTGTAAGAAGAATCTGAGAATATCCACAACTACCAATTATTAATATAAATAATCATAAGAAGCATATCAGCATCAACATTGTGTTCTGCATCACCATCGAAAAGTTTTATTACACATGTATGTATTACTATTACATATACAGTCAAAAGTCGTTAATTCGGACACCCATAATCCGGAATGATCTATAATCCGGACCTCAAAGCTAAAAACTTTCAGCGCATGTGGCACGTTGACACATGTGCATTGACGTTTACGCATGCGCGTAAGACCTTTACGACAGCACATATGCATGTGTGCAAGTGCAGAATACATTTTTGCGTGCACGTTTTATGTATAACGGATGGTATAAGCTAAAATTATTTAATTATCTATTTCAGTTAATGTTGATGATTGCGTTGTTCCTTAATCTTCGAGTTGGATCCGGCTTATTATTTTTTGCAGACTGTAAGAGCAATTTTATAAAAGTAAACTTGAACTTTCGATTATGTCAAATAGAATTTCCGATGCTGGAGCTCCCAAAACAAAAGTATGTTTCGATGTCCATCAAACAAAAAGTGAAATTGCTGCAAAAAATGGATAAAGACATGAAGAAGGTGACAGAGAGGTTAGTGAAAACGAAAAAATTTTGATTGACAAGTTAGTCGATATTCTCGGCACAGCAATTACAGGACTTGAGCAGCGGAACTTTGTAACTGAACAAGAAATTATGTCTGTTTATAGAATTAAAGAGAAAGTATTATCACATAAAACGAAGCAACTTAAACAACTTACATTGAAAGAAATGTTTAATAAAGTAAGCAAATAAATATCAAGCTTTTTTTTTTTTTTTTTTTTTTTTTTTTGTAAATTTTGATACCCTGTAGATCATAATTGTTCTTTATTTCATAAATTACGGTTTCATATTTTTAATTTTAGAATTTGTGCATGCCATCTTACGAGATTTAAACTGATGATCTATAATCTGGAAAAATCGATAATCCGGAATCGCCAAAGTCCCGACGAGTCCGGATTAACGACTTTTGACTGTATATATACCTAAGACTTAGACACTTATGTATATATATATTTAATATAATCTATAGAATCTTGAAAATTGGGTGATAGTTGTAACAATTTTGTAAAGTTTTTCGCCATAGGTTCAAAAATGACATTTATAGAAAGACGGGCAAGACAAGACACAGTTTATTGCTAAATATTCTTAAGATACATATTCTCAGTCACACATCATTATGGGTGTGATATGCACCCCACAATTTTGTAAAGCTTAGCATATCTTTATGCATGACACAGAGAAAAGTGCTGCATATGTTAGCAACCGTGAGTAAAGTGGGGGAAAGTAAGTATGCATTCAAAAGTTTCTTTAATCTGATTAGAGAAAAGATATCTGCAATACTATGCATTAAGTAAGATGGCATGATGCGCATTAATTTAAAAAAGACACAGTTCAGTACTTTTAGAGTAGAAATAAGAGATACATAAATTAAAATGAAGAATATTGCTAATTTAAGCTATAATTTTGATTTATGTATATTTATTTTAGATATTTATGCATTATTACATATACGTATATATTATTTACACACACATATATACATAATATATTACATGTACAGACCTTGTAGATATGCATGCATGAATAAGCTGATTTAATCTTTGTTTTTTGCATGCATTTTTTATTAATGCTTTTGAAGTCCATAATCATTACATACATCATCCCACCAGTGGCCGAGCGGTAACGTCGTCGAACACTGGTAGTTCGGTCCGAGGTTCGAATCCCGCGAACGGGCTGGCTGCATGGGTGTTTTTGTGGTTTTCCCATGTGTAACGTGTATACGAGCCAGTTTCCCTTAAAAAGTCCTCCACGAAGGCATTCCCTCCCTTAAGGCAGATAGCCCTCGAGTGCTTTGCCGTAATCTAATAAACCAAACCAAACCATTACGTACATCATATCTAAAGTATTAAATATTATGCAATATCTAAAAGAGTTAAATAGTTGTAGTTATTATTTGTGCTTTAGTAATTGTACCTTGAGAAATTAGTGCATGGTATCATTTAAATTAAAACTTTTCTTGTATTTAGTAGTATCTTAGTAATTAATTTTTAAAAAAAATTTGTTTTTCAGTGGTTGTTTATCATCTGCGTCTGAGGATGGAAAATTAGGTAAAATATAATTTGAGTAAGAAAATGAAAATTTTATTATGTTGCTTAATGAAGTGTACTCCTGTCTTCTTTTAATTTGCAGCATTACTGAAAAATGCTGCAGCATTTCTTTGTAGCTTTCTTTATCCATTTTAATTTGAGTTGTATTTTACATAAGTAACTCATACTAGATTTTTTTTTTTTCCCCTTTTTAGGAGAGCTAAAACAGTATCAACCATATGAAAAATTTGCTGACAGAAGAAAACATCACACGGTGGCCAGAACATATTTTTATCTGGATGAAGCACAGTGTGAAAAAAACATGGAAACATTTATAAAATGTATTAATGCAGTTGCAGGTACATATGTAATGGTTTTAGCAAAATCTTCTTACTGCAAAATTATAGGCATGCTTTTTGTGTATTTCTCACAAAATTTAAATTCTTTAAATTTCTACTGTTAAACACTCCCTCTGTCTGAAAATATGGCATACAGTCACAACTGTAATTAATATTAAGCCTTAAATGTATAAATGAAGTTTAATTGAAGTGGTACTTAAGTCTTTCCCAGGGTTTTTGTAAATGCCCTAAAGTAGCTGGTAACCATCCCTTACTTCCTTAACTTTGGTTAATTGTTCAAAATAATCCTTACATTACCATTCACATCTGCTTTTCTTTTTTGAAGAAGCATCAAGGACAAATTTTACCTTTGTCATACTGTTTTGAACTACTTGCCAAATTCTAGCCATGTCAAATGTGTTAATCCACACTCTCCTACAACATTATTATAATGCCATGCTTCAGCTTCTGCTCTTCTTTCAATTATAATGACTTTTGCAATATACCATTATGCTGTTTAGCAGCTAATTGCTTGAACTTGGAAGAATGTATTTAGAATATCCAATGCACTGTAAAGTGTTAGCATAGTTTTTTCTATTTTTTTCAGTCTTTTCTCAGTATATTATATAAATGCTCAATTTTCTTAGTAAGACAGATGGCTTGAAAAAAAATTTTTTCTTATTATTAACACTTTGTCTTATTATACATCATGCTCTTTGCACTTATGCCCCATAAAATTCATTTCAACAGCAGAATCACAAAATACTTAAAAATATGTATTCACAATTTCCTATATATTCTCGCACGCTAGAGATAGAAATGTTTTAATCTGTACAATGTTGCCACTGTTCACTTTCAAATCATTGATTTTATTAATGACAAATTTTTATCTATTAATTTTAAATATTTGTGTATTATAAAATTTTACAAATTATGAAATATGAAATTCAAAATTAGAGCTTCCAGCTGCACATTTTCGGGTGCTAGAGCACATTGGAATCCCGATCCTGTACTTCTCAATTTTTGATATAAATCAAATTTTTAGCCAGAGCACTCTGAGACCCTAAATGAAAGGGCTCCAGCACTTCTTTTCTGTAAGTGAACCTCAATTTCAGCAAACAAATTTTATTTTGAGAACAAATAAGAGCAAATGGTTCTAACTTCTGAATGCAGGCCTGTCCGTATTGCAAAGGCTTTTTCTCCCAGGAAGTGCAATGAATTTATGATAGCGGATAAATTTTTTGTTCCTGAAAATAGGAGTGATCACCTTAATTGTGCACGTGCCATGTTAATGACTTTCTACTGCACAGCTTCCATAGACTTTTTGAACTATGTAACCAAATGTGGGGAATCACTGCTGTCACTTGTGCACGTGTTTTACGTTTATTCTCACTTTGTTACTGGATCGTATTCAAGAAAAATTTTTGCTCAGTGGTTAGAATTATATAAACTGTGCATTGCGATCAGTAAGCCTTGAACTCTTCCATTGTATTTTCAAAGCTACATTTTTCTGTTAAAATTTCCTTCCATATCTTCATACTATTTCCAGAATTCTTACTATTCTCTTCAATACTGCCTTAGTCATTTTATCTTTTCTCATTGGTGAGCTGCAGAAAAGAATGGTTTGTGTATCTCTCATCCTTTAAATAGTGTATTATGTGTAGAATGAAAGCTTAAATTCAGGCCGAGATTGAACTACTACTTTATTCTGAGTGGAATTGTAATTCCAGCCGGAGCTGCCCCAAAAAAGCCGAGGTTCAATAATTTTATTTTTTATTTAACTATTTATAATTACTTTAATAATTTATTAAATTTTTATTTTCCTTTTTCTATTTCTGCAGACAATTCTGTTTACTCTGATAGTTTGTACTGTGCAGTTAACTGTTTTTTTTTTTTGGGAGGAGGCATTGCAATATGAAAATCTGTAATGTGAAGGGGTCGTTTTAGATAGGGTCATAGAAGAGTCCTGTATAGTGTAACAAGTATTTATTAACAGGTTTAAGTTACACACGGACATTACATTTAACTTTAAGAAAATTACAGAGCAAAAGTCTGATACAACTTATCAAGTGGTACGCTTGGCTTTTACTGAAGTACTTCTCTGGCTACTCACCAGAGGGCAGCCTTGTTGTCACAGTTAGTCCGACAGTTTATGTTAAAGGATTGGTTACAGTAATTATTATGCAGTTAAAGCAGTTATTTTTCCCAAAAAATATTTAAAGTATTATTTTCATGCAATGGTAATTTTTATTTTAAATTATATTTATTATATCTGGCTAAGTATCTTAAATCAGTTGACGTGTTTTTAGAAGTGTTATTTTGGAATGTAACATATTTTACAAAGTATTAAAAACACATTGTATCAAAAATTCTGAATACTGTTAATAGTACTGTTACTAGTAGAAACAAATGGAAGTACTGTTAATAGTAGAAACTATTAACAGTATGTTTATTTACAGTATGTTTATTAACATACATATGTTTATTAATATACTGTTTTAAACAGTATGTTTATTAACAGTATGTATGAACCTCATACTGTTAATAGTAGAAACAAATGGAAGTAGAAGTGGAATTTTTGTAGAATTATTAGTTCAAGTACAAAATTAACAGTATCTGTTCAGTCAATACTACTTTCTTATTCTGTTTTAGTAATGTATTGTGACATATTTGTGAATTTTTAAGTTGGTAATTATATGTGAATGAATTATATTATAAATAAATCTAAATGACTTGTTGCGTATTTAAAAATATGCAGTACTTTATATATATATAGTAATTATAAATTTTTGTGAGAATTTGAATAATTCTGTGCAGGTACAACTCAGTCAACAGGATTTGCTGCTATCAAAATGACTGCACTTGGTCGACCACAACTTCTAGTACGTGAAATTTTTATTTCAGCTTTTATGTGTTTGTGTGGGGCAATTTCAAGTTTGCTTTCTTTTTATTTTTTCATTTTCTGTTAATTAAATGAAATTGATTAATTTTTTCTTACCTTATAAATTTTTGGGTTGTTTGAAAGCAACAGCATTTGCAATTATTTTTAAGCTGAATAGTAATGTAATGCGAAACATTTGCTAATAAGGTTGAAGTTGTTTTATAAAAATAATGTAGATAACTGAACAATGTAAGCAATAAAAGCTTTTTAACCCCTTTGCGACGGCATGCTGCTGAACTAAAAATCTTCAGCAGGCAGGTGTATCATACATGCATCAGTCCCAAATGTCAGTAGCTGCCAGGTAATGCACTGGTGCATTGCTGCTTGCATTCATCTTCCAGACAGGGTGGAACTCCGATTTGTATTCAATTTGCATCTTCTTTAGATAGCAGACGTAAGATATTTGCACCTTTTAGCACTGAGTTAAACTAATAGTACGATGTTTACGAGAAAGGAAGTTTTTAATGCAAGAAGAGTATATTCGAATTGTAAAAGCCCATAAGTATCTATTCAAGCCCATGAGTGACTATTTTGACACCAAGAACTCTCGATTTAAGTCAGAATATCGATTTTTGACACTGAAATTTTCTCAGAGACTGAATTGGAAGTTTGTTTTTCTTTCACCTCACAATCCAGCAGAACAGTGATTACTCCATCATGAACTTGATCTGTTAACTTTTTACAACATTGCATCAAGATGAGTCAAATATTTTATTTTGCATTTAGATTTTAATTAAAAAATTTCCAGAATATTTCCAGAATATAGAATTCTCTTGATATTCTGTATCTGTGATTATATTACTGTTAGATACCATTACAGAAGAAATCAAAGCGCTTAATAAAATTTATTTATAATGAATTTTTTTATGAAGTTAAGCTTAGCGATGTGAAATACCCCGTCTGGCGAGATCATACTCCTGCAACAACACACTATCTCCAAGGTGAGTTGCACTAAACAGCATGCTGTCACATAAGAGGATTAACTGATGATGCATATATGATGCACCCATCCTAAAGGGGTTTATATGTTTTTAATCAACTGTCAATTTAACGACAAGTTTTTTATAATTTTCTATTAGCAAGTTTTTCACTGTAGGTGACACTAAATCAAGAGGATTTATATGCTGTTTAGGAGGCTTAAATTTATTAATCTGCTATATTTTGCTCCCCCCATTCCTTACACATTTGCTAGGTTTATATATATATATAGTTTTATTATTAGAAAAAATTTTTATACATTGTCTCTAAGGAGTATAAATTTAATAATGCGATGAATTATTGGAATAAATTTGAGTCAGTATTTTAAGTGTAAGCTATGTAGATTTTATTGTAGTAAAAATATTTTAATAAAATGTATAGAAATATTAGTAAACTGGAAAAATTCTAAAAAGTAAAAATGTAAAATTTTAAGTATTGAAAAGGTAGCCATTGTTATTAGCCATAGCTTAAGTGACTTGCCAAGGGGAACAATCCAATCCACTATCAAATAACAATAACTAAATTAAGTGAGATTATTTCGTCTTTTTTCCAAGTGACGATCGAATTAGTTATTTTGTTAGAGTTAAATTATAAGCTGCGAACAAAACTCAAGAAATGGAAAGATAATTATTCTCTTTGAACCAAAATACTTGTCATAAACAAAACTGAAAAAAGTGAGTAAGATTTTCTTTTTAATTTAATGTACTTGTTAAGAATTGAATTAAATGAATTAAATCACTTTAGAAAAAACCTTTCCCAACACTCTCACAGTATAGTAAAAAAAAAAAAAAAAAAGAAAGAAAAACTATTGAGACCTGTACATATTAATACAAAGTAATTGAAATTAAGTACAAAAGAAGAAATTTTAAAACAATAAAAATATGTAAAAATTTTTTAATTTAAATGCAAAACCAAAAGTAGGTATTAAATACCTACTTTATATTAATACTTAGGTATTGATACGTTAGGTACAAATCAAGAAAGGAAATTAAAATTAACCTTCTTGTTTGCAAAATTTAAAATGAAATAGCTGTAAATGTAAATGTATTCTGATGGAATGTAATAGCATTGTTGTATTTAATGGGAGAAGGGTAATGGTTGGTAACATGTTATACTCTATTTGAGATGCTGAAGCCATAAAGTTGGCAAGATAAACTTATTACAGTACAAAGTCCATAATCCGGGCATCCATTATCCAGAATAATCTATAATCCGGACCTCAAAGCCACAATTTTTTTTTTTTTTTTTTTGGTATGCTTTACGCATGCGTGTAATGTGTTTATGCACGCGCGTTTAATGTATAACAGACGGTATAAGCTAGGGTAAAATTATCTTTACTGATTTTAAGGCATTTCAGTTAATGTTGTAGATTGCGCTGTTCCTTAATCTTCTAATTGGGTCCGGCTTATTATTTTTTGCAGACTGTTAGAGGAATTTTATAAAAATTAAGCTTAAACTTTCGGTTATGTAAAAAAGTTTCCAATTCTGGAGCTGCCAAAAGATCTACAAAATGAAACCATGTTTCAATGTCCATCAAACAAAAAGTGGAATTGCTGCAAAAAGTGGATAAAGGCATATCCGTCTCAAAATTATGTGAGGAGTATGGCATTCTATGACACAAGAAAAAGGAACTTTTTAAATTTTTCGTGGAAGCATCTTAAACAACTTACATTGAAAGAAATGTTTAATAAAGTAAACAAATAAATATTAAGCTTTTTTTTTTTTTTTTTTTTTTTTTTTTTTTTGTAAATTTTGATACCCTTTAGATCGTAATTGCTCTTTTTTTCATAAATTACGGTTTCATATTTTTAATTGTATAATTTCTGCATGCCATCTTATCAGATTTAAATTGATGATCTATAATCCCGAAAAAGCGCTAATCCGGAATCGCCGAATTCCCGACAAGTCCGGATTATGAACTTTATACTGTATTTAGTTAAAGTTGTTGTACTGTATTTAGTTAAAGACTAGCTTCTTATTAAAAACTTTTTATCAAACAGAAGAAAAATAATTATTTCTGGTTAATGGTCTTAAAGGCATGAAGAAGAAAGTATCTTCACTGGTAAAGAGCTGTTTACCAGACTGAGAAATATATGAAAAAGGCCCATGAATTAGTAAAAAAATAAATTGCAAGAAAAAATTTGTAATTTACTTAAATACAAAAATCAATTTCAAAATTTACAAGTCTTTAGCTAACCGACAAGCCTTTTAAAGTTTTAGGAATAAATTATCATAACCTTATTAGTCTACACATTTAAACTGAGTGTTTATATATATATGTAAAATATAAAAATTACTATGGCTTTGCTCTACGCAAGCATGCAACCTCTAATTAACTTTCCGTAACGTCAGGATCTTCCCCCTAGACCAGTACTTTCAAGAACGTTTGAGCATATTACGTAACTGCTCCTATAAATGAAGAATTCACGCCATCTTGCGTCAGAGACTGCTTTCTACTCCTGCTGCCAACATATCTTTGCTGCCACTCCTCCCTTTGTTCGAATAGTATGATGCAGTAAATTTAAAGTTAATCTTATTTAGTAAATCACTATTAAATATGTAATTTTGGAGAATTTAATCTAAAAGAATAATGATTTTCCATTTGAATTGAATAAAGATAGGGAGCTATAAATTTAAATCCTTCTGTGTTGTCTCATTGGATGCCACCTTACACTCAGCCACATCCAGAATTCTGATGTGACCAGATTGCCAAGCTTCACTCATGTGCCTGACTATCAAAATATTACATATATGTACACGCACACAGCAGGCATCACTTAATGTGATTATGCTTGTTGTTGCCTATTTTGATAACATTAAAAGATGAGAAATAGTATCCTTCAAAAGCGCAATGGAATTTGGCTAACTTAATAAAAGTATAGCTAAAAACATATAAATAGGTACTTTTGCAGCATTTTACTTAGGAAAATTTAAAAGTTTGTTACGAACTTTTCGTAATGTGGCTGGAAATTCTTTGACTGATTCTGTACCCCTAATCTTAATACTCAGAGTTGGTACAGAACATGCTAATGCAAAATTTTAAATTAGGCAGAAAAGGAACCCAAGGAAAAAAATTCTGCAGATATTTTTTTTATCGTAAAGAAGACTGAGCTGTATTTGATCACTTTCATGATTGATACATTTATTAAAAAAAACTAAGGTTTTATTTTTCCATAATTTAAATAGTTGGCTTAAATCAGGCTATGTGTCATTTTAATCCCTTACTTGGTGACATTTCTCTTTCACTTGGCAATTTTGATAATCTATTTTAAACTTATATGGCTTATATGGTGGCTTCAATTCAGTTTAAAAACTTTATTCTATAATATTTTGATCATATTAACCAAATTGATCACAATAAGCAGTATATTTTACATGTCTCTCGTATACAGATGGGAGTACGTCTGCGAATCGATAACAGTATCCAAATAGTAACATTAACCATGATCACCTGAAGCAGCATCTAGTGTACATCTAGTGATGTGCATAGGAGTAAAAAAAAAATATAGAACTTATCTGTTGATTAAATATTTATTAAATTTTGTATAAATTTGTAATATTTTATTGTTTTTATTATTTTTATTTTATGTTTATTTATTTTTAAAGTCTCAGTGTATTGATGAGTATACTCAACAGATTAAGTAGTGCCTGTACTAATTAAAATTTGTAAAATTTTTAATAACACAGTTATTTACAAAATGTCAAATAGGTATATACTAAAAGTAATTCTTTGCACCCAGTGGAGAAGTCAGTATGGATCCTAATAGAAGTTGGGAGATATATGTTTAAAAAAGTTCAGGGATTTTTTTGACAAGTTTCAATTTTACTCTTAAACTGTGATTCAATACAAGATAATGCCTTGAAACTGCCAGCATTTAAATTGTAATAATTTGTAATCTTCTATTTTAATATTTATATTTTTAATGCTATTTTATGTTTTAAAATGATCAGTTTTAATTTTGTCATAATTTCCAATGTATTAGTAAACTGTTTATTGGGCATTAAATTTATGCTTAAAATTTCAGATGCAGCTCTCTGAAGTTATTGCCCAGACTAGGAAGTTTTTCAAAAAAGTCACAGGCACTGAGCGCAATATTGAAATGTTACATGTTTCACCTGAATATCTTGAGCATAAGTTAGAAGATTATAACATCAACACAGAGAAAAAAGAAGTTCAAGCTTTCTTAGAACACATGGACTACGATAAGAAAGGGTATAATTTATTCCAATGGCTATTCTTCCTATTACTTTAAATATAAGAATGGCAGCAACCTCACTCAAATATTTGGAAAGCAGGTGATTTTTTTCCACGGTTATGTTTTTCTTCTCACTAAGTTTGCAAGTTAATAAAATCTTTTTAAATAGCATTTAGCTCTCTTTCATTTCTTAAATAGATATTGAAAATGTATATGTTTAAAAATCTCAGAAACTTCTTAATCTTCATGCTTTACACTATCCTGGTTACTGAATTTTATTAAATTAGTTTAAATGGTCATCTAAACCAAACATGACCACATTTAAATGCAGTGCAGTATATAGGTAAAGGGTAATTGTGGTTGTACATTCCTTTTAAGCATAATAACTTGTATTCTGGTTATTTTATTTATTTATTTATTATTTGTTTATTTTTTGAGGAATTATTTTATTGTAAATCATGCTTCCCACCCCTGACAAAAACATAAAATAAAAATTAAGTGTGAAAAGACGATGCTAACTTTGTACTACATTATTTTTGCTCTAGAATGGGACAACATAGGTATTTTAAATGCTAGAATGTAATACAGTATATGGAAAATTTCTTGCTGTCTTGCGTATTTAATTCAGTAACTGTAGGCCATTTATGTGTATTATTGATCAACCTGGTTGGTATGGTAGTTAAAGGAGATTGATTATTATGCCAGTAGCTCAGAATCGTGTTCCAGGTAAGACATGAATGTGTACATCTGTACTTTGCAGAATGGAACACTTAAATCCATACATCTGAGAGTACTCTTGGTAGGGAAGATAAGACTTTCAGATTTTATTTCTCAGAATACATTCTGTCAAAATTGGGTTGCAGCTAAATGAGTACATACTTTACCTTAATTGAAAAATCTAATTTAGGATTTACAACAATTTACATACCATTGCTGTGATATATAATGCCAGTTTTGTAAACAAAATGTCGTACAATACAATAAAGTAGCAGTTGTTGATAGCTAGCAGTGTAGAACATAGCAAAACTAAATTTTCTCAAAAGTTTGAGGAAAACATTCACCATTTCTTTCCAAGATTCAGGCCAAGTGGTAATAAATCTTCAGAATGAACCTTGTGATCATATTCTTCTTCCTTGAATTATGTTGGATAGAATATCATTGGATCCTTATCAAGCAGCAGAATGTTGTAGAAGAGTTGAGTAAATTATGAAGTGTCTCATGAACAGCAACAGAGCAGAAAATTCAGCAGTGCTCCTTAACTGCTAATAAGAAGTGGGTGGATCCTGTACAGTAATCATAAACATTATGGCTTACAGGTCAAATGCCAGAGAAATAACAAAAACATAAGGCTTGTCTCTAAAAAAGTTAATTACTATATGATTAATGTCTGCTAGTGTCATTCATTGTTCTTTCCTCAGGTATGGTTATACAGTACAAAGTCTTTAATCCGGATGTCCATAATTCGGAATGATCTATAATCCGAACCTCAAAGCTACAAACTTTCTGCGTAGCGTTTATGCATGCGCATAATACCTTTACGCATGCGCGTTTAATGTATAATGGACGGTATAAGCTAGTCTAAAATTATCTAATTATCTGTTTCAGTTAATGTTGCAGATTGTGTTAATCCTTAATCTTCTAATTGGATCCGGCTTATTAATTTTTGCAGACTGTTAGAGCAATTTCATAAAAATGTTTTAATAAGTTTGAACTTTCGATTATGTCAAAAAGAGTTTCCGATTCTGGAGCTGCCAAAGGATCTACAAAGCGAGCATGTTTCGATATCCATCAAACAAGAAGTGGAATTGCTGAAAAAAAATGGATAAAGGCATATCTTTTGTTTCTCTAACTATTCTGAAATCTGTTTATCAATTTCACGCTGCTCAGTGGAGGGGAAGGGACATCGCGGCGCGCAATGCACTGTCAGCACTATCCTCATCTTCAGGGCAGATGTTTTTATTTTATTCGGCTTATAATTCCTTACTAAATGTAGTATTTCATCTCGATGTATTCCGTCTTTGATGATATGATTTAAATCAAATTCCTCGTCATTATAAATATCACGAATACACAGCAAATAGTTTTCTGGTTGCAATTTTCTAATTTCGACTATGCGTAATGTATGCTTTACACATGTGTTTTAATAAAGTAAACAAATAAATATTAAGCCTTTTTTTTTTTGTAAATTTTGATATCCTTTAGATCATAATTGCTCTTTATTTCATAAATTACGGTTTCATATTTTTAATTTTATAATTTCAGCATGCCATCTTACCAGATTTAAATTGATGATCTATAATCCGGAATTGCCGAAGTCCCGACGAGTCCGTATTAAAGATTTTGTACTACTGTACTAAAACATCAAGTTGTAATAGATAAATTAAATATAAGAGAAACTGAATGTAAAGCAACCAGCATTTGTCAATCAAAGTTGTATTCTGCTTCAATGTAAAGCTTTACCATATGTCTTCTGATAAGTGCATAGAAAAGTGATTAGTGTAAGTGAGATTCAGTATCGACGTACTAATTAAATTTTCGTTATTATATATTGCAATTTAATGCTATTTCCTTTTGGTTATTGTTATTATTATTTTTGGTTTTTTGCTCTACGCTTGTATGAAAAATGCCTTGCCTATTCTGAAGAATATGAAAATTTGCAATAACGACACCCATGAAAAGAAAGTTTAACTTTCAATTAATTGTAGTGTTATTTGTTATTGAAAAACAAGTTTATCAAAATAATTTATGTATGTTCTATGGATTTGTAGATTTTGCAAGCAGTTTTGTGGGAAAACATTTTCACAAATGCAAGCTAAATAATAAATATATATATAAAAAAAGAGTTGGCTGCATTTACAATAAAAATATTGATTAATAAAGTATCTTTTTTAATTTTTTTAGCCTTTTGAATTTGTTTTCATGGAGTGGTTTGGTCGACATGGATTATGTAATATCAGATTTGTTTAAAGTTCCAAATATACAGGTTTGTAAATGTTTCATGTGTAACCATTGTATGTTAAATGTAAATTGTGTATTTTAAGCTCCAACAATTTGAATTTTTTATTTATGGAATATTTTTTAATGTTCTTAGCAAAATCACAGATTTAGAGGTGAAGCAATTTAGAAGTCTATTTAAATATTTCATATAAAGTATAGTTGCTTTATATTAACGTGTTATAATCCTTAAAAGAATTTTTGTGCATTATGCTGCTGAGAATTATCAGTAAATATATAAAGAGTGAAATTTAGAACCAATTTTTCATATATATATATTTATGTACAGATTATTTCTTAGAGCAAATAAAAAGTGAATTCGTTATTAACCAAAATTTTAGGTAGAATATGCTACTTCTTGAAAAATTTTCTCAATCTTTTTTTTTCCGGATCGTATAACCATTCATAATTACACATATTTGTTTTAGGTAAAAATATTTAAACACCATTATGCTGATTTGATGATCTTGATTTAGCAATGCTTTTAAAATCAATTTTAAATAATAATAAAAGAAATTGTTCTGACTTCTAGATATTTATGCAGCATTTTTCTGCTGACAAAGTTTAATACTTGTGAAAGGCATTGGGAGAATGTTTAATACTTGTGTATTAGCCAGTACCCACTAATATATTGCCAAAAATACCACCTTGACTCTGATACCTGCGAGTATTCAGCAATCTCAGAAGCTGTTTTAGATTCTTGTAGAGCAGCGATCAGTTTAGTTTTGCTGCATATACTCCTTTCACCATTATTAGATGATCGTCTCCCCTCTCCATTCCAAAGCTAAAAAGATACATGTATGTTTATTTAAATTTAGATTATTTTTAATGTGTTTTGTAATTTAGCAAAGAAAAGTATAGAAACTGTAGATAAATACCAAAATTTAAATAAAAGTAGTTTTCCACATTCATAAACTAACTACTTAACCTATAAATAACAGGCTGATGGCATTTTCCCTCCTGAAATTATGAAATTCCCTTTGGATGGGGACTCCCCTTTGATTTTTATTTTTCGTCTAATCATGTTTAATGTTCCTCCTTTCCCCTCCTGACTGAAAACGGATGGGAACAGCTTTTCTTTCTTTCTTTCTCATTGTCTTTAATTTCAGTGTCAACTTCAGATAAATTAGAGCAAGCAGAAATATGCCCCACACTTTATATATATATATATAAAACATCCAGGAAGTTTTTGGGTCAATGGTTGTTTGTCTTCTGTTAATTTTTACTGTATTTCATCTCAGGCATTTTGTAGATTTGGGAAAGAATGAAACAGAAACAGTCTACTAATTGATGCTGAACCGTTAACATGAGGCAATTTAGAATTTAAGAAATTTTGAGGAGCCACAATTATGTATTTCAATTATAAATATGTATAATACCCAAACTCAGTGGCGGATAGGGCCAGCAGGTGACCGGGCATATGCCCGGTGGGCCAGAGCGATTTCTGGCCAATCAAGAAACTTGAACGATCAAATCGACACAGATTACTCGGCAAGAGAACCCTGCGTGCAAGAGATATAGAGATGCACAGACCGCATATCACCATGACCTTCAAGAATAAGGCCACAATATCTCACTTAAACTCACATGCAATATGGTGCTGTAGGCTGTAAGCTAGAGTTGAGAGTAGAGCCTATATTCGACACATAGAGCTGTAATGTACTAGAGAGAGAAACGGGCAACCCTGAAGGGGAACAGGAATGCGAACCACGTGACATTTTGGAACATTTCCCAGATCGTATTTCCCGCGGATCTTCCTTCCCATTACAGTTCTATGGAGAATTTGTGAGAAGCAAATGTTTTGCGTGTACGCGCATTGTTTCGGACTTCAAAAATGGTACTTTCGTGCTCCGCATATAGATGAAATTCCAGATACGTGAAAGGTGGAGGAGTAACATTTCACAGCTGAGCTTTTTCTAAGTTTTTTTTTAAAACGTAATTATATAAAATGTAGAGGTTTTTTTATCGACTCTACTTGCCGTTTTCTAACAAAAAATAGATTTTCTAATTTTATATAATATATGCATACTTGAAATAAACATTTAAATAAAAAGTATCTTAATATATATGTATGTTTCTAATAACTGTATTCCGAAAAAAAAATGTTTTAAATTTTAGTAATACAATATAATTTTAATTAGTCTAGTATTCTGCTTTGGCGACATTTTCATACGCCAACAGACTGCTTTGAATGCGTTGTTTATATATTCTTTGTATGCGTTTGCTTATGCGGGGACATGTGCGAGTAGTAATGTAATGTGTATTTAATACTTGGTAATGTTGATGTAACCACTGTGTAAGAACTGCATAAAATTATGTTTTTTTTTGGGGGGGGGAGGGGACATGAATGACTTTATTTTATCCCCTTTTCTTGCATCCAAATATAACAAATATGTTTACTTTCAATCACGTATTTTTTTCTTATATCATGTTTCTGGCATTTATTCCAATATTAATAGAAATTATATAGCAGTTAAATTTCAAAACTTAATAGTTTTAAGTTTCTTTTTAAAAATAATGAACATTATTTAAATTTTACCTTCTAAAATTATTTAAAATAAATGCGACTACATTGTGCAATGTGCATAATATATATATATATATATATATTTGCTAGTAAAAGGAAGTCTTAATTTACCACCTTTTAGTTTCATAATTTAATTATTTACCACTCTCTCTCTTCCTTTTAACTTATATCTGCTATATTGACATTCATTTTAGTTCAATTAATTTAATATCTTTCTCACTTTGATTCGCCTACTCTGTAGTTCTCTGTAATACACCGTATATTAACATTACATTTCCTTTTCGTATTAATATAAATTTCCTTTTTGTATATTTTCTGTTTTCAACTCATTTTTTCTTATGTTATCTATTTTTTTTATTCTGTCCTAAGTACTAAAAAACCTTCTTTTTTTTATTTATTTTACTTATTTATTTTTAGTTTGTTATTAGTTTATTTATTTTATTATTTATTTTTATTGTTTGTTCTCTCCAGTTTTTTATTTTATTTTAAATTTTGTAGACGCCGAGGAACATATTACAAAATATTATTCTACAGCATGAGAATTATTTAATTTAAAAAATGAAAATTAAAATAAAGTTAAATTTTAAAATAAAGTGTCCAATTTTCGGGAAATTAATAATTTTGGCTGGTGTTTATCGATTTAACCTCTTCTGCAAATTCAACGGCAGCTTCTGCGAAATGACATCTTTCCAAGTTCGCATTTCGAACTAAGAGAAAAGAGAGGAAAAAATCGCCAGCCATGGCGATAGTACGCCAAAGTCTGGGTTCAGTTCCATTTCATGCCCAAACTCCTGCAGCTCATTCCTGTGCCGCTTTTTCACCCGGTTTTGAATGGCGATACTCCGTCTAGTATATAACAGGTCTATGATTCGACAGTGGTTGACAGCGTCTACAGTAGTAAAATAGATTTATGGAGTACAGTACAGTCACGTTCTAATTTAATTGTGAAACTGAAAATATTGCTTTAAAACTGTAAGACTGGCTGTCTAGATAATTTTACTGTGCCACTGAATAATTTGAGTTGATGACAAAAATATTGCAGTTGATTTTTTTTTTTTTTTTTTTTTTTTTTTTAACATTACATTACTTTTTAGGTGCATAGAATAGATAAACGAAAATGAATGGAGGTGCACGGAAACTTCGTGAAAAGTGACGACTTAAAACAAATTTTTGACATGTTCGATTACAATGATAATAGTTTATAAGTAGAATTAATATTTGCACTCAAAAGTATCGCTTCCAGTCGTATACAAAATGCACAGATATGACAAATGGCAAAATCTATTCTGGATGAAACATCAACTTTTAGAATAATTTTGTCTGCTCACGTATATTTGAAAACGTAACGAAATATTTGCGGACTAAAGGATTAGATTACATCCTAGTATATCATATGTTTAGAGAGGTTACAAGCTTTTTAAAAGCCATTTCTAGAAACTTTGATTTAATATTTAACGCATCAAAATATCGTTTGCAACGGATTGCAATAATAAACTGGAAAGGTTGGGTTGTGATATAATTATAGGAAAAGCAATACCTGCTAGAAAATGCCGAAAAGTGAAGCAAATGGACAATGAATAATCGTCCAACTATAATTTCAATTGCCTTGTCAAACAATTCAAAACTACTGTATTTAATTTGATAGTGGATAACATCATTTCATCAGTGGAAAATAGGCTTAAAGGGCATCAATTGTATGGAGACATATCTCTTCTTGATTCCCGAAACTTTTTGAAGTCATTGTCGTAGATCTTTTTCGACTATCATCTATATTATTAGGGCACTATGCAGGTATAACAATTGATAACCTTAAGGATGAATATCAGAACCTACTAAGTAAATACAAAATACTAAAAAATTCAATTGAAAATCACTATTTTGAATCTGATACTGAGTCAGAAGGAGAGAGTGCTCTATCTATTAATGAGCATTCATCCAAAGCTAAATGCAATTTTTTCAAAAATTGTGACTTGTGTGCATATAAATTACTCTCGAAATATAATTTATGTAATAAAGCATACGCCAATATCTTTTTTGCTTATAAGTTTGTACTCACCGTATCTCTAACACAAGTTGAACGCGAAATAGCTTTTACAAAATTAAAAATTATAAAAAGGAGATAAAGAAGTACTATAAAGCAAGCTAATTTGGAGTCATTGAAGAACATAGAGAAGGATATTTTGGCTAAAGCAAAAACTGAAGATATAATGGAGGAAATATTTGCCCAGGCCATTGGAATTAAAAAGTATTTAAATGGCTAATTATGAATCAATCGCTGTTTTGTTTATACAGTCAAAAGTCTTTAATCCGGACCTCAAAGCTATAAACTTTCTGCGCATGCATAAACGCATAATGCGCATATGCGTTTACGCATTTACGCATGCGCATAATACATTTACGCATGCGCGTTTAATGTATAACGGACGGTATAAGCTAACCTAAAAATATCTAATTATCTATTTCAGTTAATGTTGCAGATTCCGTTGTTCCTTAATCTTCTAATTGGATCCGGCTTATTTTTTTTTGCAACTGTTAGAGCAATTTTGTAATAAGTAAGCTTGAACTTTCAATTATGTCAAAAAGAGTTTCCGATTCTGGAGGTGCCAAAGGATCTACAAAGCGAAAGCATGTTTTGATGTCCATCAAACAAAAAGTGGAATTGCTGAAAAAAAGGGATAAAGGCATATCTTTTGTTTCTCTAACCATTCCAAAATCTGTTTATCAATTTCATGCTGCTCTGCAGGGGGGGAAACGTCGCTACCCAATGAACTGGAAGTTGATCTGTCAGCACTATCCTTATCTTCAGGGCAGATGTTTTTATTTTATTCAGCTTATAATTCCTTACTAAATGTAGTATTTCCTCATGGATGTACTCCGTCTTTGATATGATTTAAATCAAATTCCTCATCATTATAAATATCACGAATACACATCAAATAGTTTTCTGGTTGCAGTTTTCTAATTTCGACTATGCGTAATGTATGCTTTACGCATGCGCGCATTGAAAGAAATGCCTAATAGAGTAAACAAATAAATATTAAGCTTTTTTTTGTAAATTTTGATACCCTTTAGATCATAATTGCTCTTTATTTCATAAATTATGGTTTTATATTTTTAATTTTATAATTTCTGCATGCCATCTTACCAGATTTAAACTGATGATCTATAATCCGGAATCGTCGAAGTCACGACGAGTCTGGATTAAAGACTTTTGACTGTATAATAATTTGCTCACTGTTATTTATTGTTTGTAGTTTATTCGCATATGTATTTTTTTCTGCAGAGGTATATTGTTATTTATTTTATAAATAATTTTTATGATAATGACAATGACAATGATAATTTATATGTATAATGACAATTCATATGGGGCCAGCATATTTTATCCTGCCAGGGCCGATTTCTGCGGTGACTGCCCAAGCTGTAAAAATGTGTGATGTAATATGTTACAGGAAAGGGGCAGTTTTGTACTCTATATATTTCAATTTATTAACAATTCAGTAAGATTAAAAATAAACATAAGGAAATTGCATTTTAATATGAAACCTAGCACTGCATGTCTTCTGCAAGTTTATAGTACTTTGGTACATAAATGTTATGGCTAAACTCGTACAATCATTTAGATGTTTATTTGTTGTTCTGGATTTGAAATCTGATTTTAAAAAGTTCATTGTTGGAAAACCTCTTTTGCGATACTAAGGCGTCTTAAGCAGGTGTTTAATTTTTGAAAAATTTCTTTTAAGATTGAATATTTTTTCTCATGTATGTGTATCCAAAGGTCTGTTTGTGATATTCTTGTTTTTAATTTAAAATTAATTATTTTCATTTCTAGATCAGTAGAATTTAAATTTATCATATTTGCAATCCGATGGGATATTTCAGAAATATTAGTCCAGACAAAATAGATTTGAAATGAATTAAGCAATAAGCTGAACTTTATGAAAATCTAATTTTGAAAGTATTTTAAACTTGACGAGATTTTTGGAACATTTAATTGCTCGAGTTTCTTATATTTCTTGATTCAGTTCTCCAAATTTTTAAAGTGTCAAAAGTTACATTCCTTTATAATTAACAGTTACATTTAAAAGTTGCAAAGATTATAAAAATTACTCATTATTATTCAAAAGTTATACTCCTTTCATTTGTGGAAAATATTTAATTTGATTTAAATGCATTTATACTTCTTATTAACTCAATAATTCTGGTCTTTTCTTTGCCCCAAAGTTTAAAAGTTAGTTTATTTGTTTTGGTTGTTATGTCTGTAAGAAAGTCTTAATCGGGTAACCCATTTATGATATCTAAGTTCTTCATAAATTTCATTTCTGGATTCTAAAAATCGTTTTTATCTCTGAAAGAAGCTCAAACATATGCTGTAAGACTTTTTCCTTTCTTAACCATTCAATTTCAGACAAAAACATTAAAGTTCCATACTAATCATCAAGTTCAGCAGTCAGTAATTTGAACATCAGCCAATACTTTGTGCAGCATGTATAGAATTTACAGTTTTTTGAACAACTTTTGAGTTGTGTTTATAAAATAAAACTTTTATAGATAATGCAGTGATAGTTAAGAAGGTTTGGAAATTCAGCATCATTCTTATATAATGTGGTGAAACCAACAGCAGAAACAATCAAAAAATTGCAGATGCAGAATCTGTTATTACAGATACAAGCTTTTGAAGTGGAAGATTAATTTCAACTTCAATACCATTCCGTGTGTATTGCCTTTTAATGAAAAAAATTGGAAGTGTATCTTCTTTTACTGAGCTTTTGTTAAAGAACATCCTTATAAAAATATTTACTTGAATTACAATACAGATATGCAATAATCAACAGATAAATCAACAGATTTATCACACTGTAAACTTAAGAATATGCATTTTTGTAAACAATTTTTTACCTCTTTTCTGACATTTTCAGACATAACTGACAGAATTAGTGGATGTTTGGACATCTTGGGTAGGAGACATAAGAGTTTAATAAAATTCGTTACATCCAAAGCCACCCTGTTCTGAAGCATGGAAGTATTTAATGTTAAACTGAAATCCTATTATGAGAGGTTGGTGGGAGGTGAAGAGGTGTGAGAGATCCTGTGGAGTCTTTCTTAAAAATTAGGATGGATTTTAAAAAGGTGATTACTGCCACCTATAAGGTGCCCAAGAGCTAAGCCAATGATAGGTGCAACTGTCACCTTTTTGGCCATGATTTTATGCGATATTGCTGTTAGATGAGTGAGATAAATCGCAACATTGTATCAAAAATCTAAGTTTCTTTTATAAGCTCTTACATTCTTAATCATCTTCAACTAAAAGATACAAGAGAATTTTTTTAAAAAAAGATGCTGATTTATAGATAATTTGCCCATAGATAGTCAACAGTTTAGCATATCTGGATGCAGGTATCTAATTTTTCATTAAACAATTCCCCTCCTAAAGCTATTTAGAAAATTTATTTGTTTAAATATTTTTGATACATGAAAGTCTTTCACTTTGCTTGTAACATGGAAGAAATTAATTGAATATATTGCAGAAGCATTTAAACATAATTTATAAAATTTCTTCTTGCACTGCATAATTTAGGATTTTCCCTATGCGCAATTATTATGTTACTTAAATTTGTTCCAGTTTATTTATTATATGAAGGAAATTAGTAATATTTTTAAGCTGTTTTATATTTATATATGGATTTTGTTTTAACAATATTTTAAGGCACTGAACTAATAAAATTTGTTATTTTTATAGACTGGACGTATGGAACCTATAATTTCTGCTTTAACAGAAGAAGAAGAAGAAATGTTTCGTAATATGATGAGAAGATTGCATCAGATTGCTAAAGTAAATTGTCTTCTAAAACAGTTATTTATAAAATTTATTTCCTGAAAACTAACTTAACCTTAAAACTAACAGCAACATGAAACCTTAAAACTAACAGTAACATGAATGAACGATTCTTTTTACATGATATATATTATTATATATTTCTGATTTTTCTAAAGCAATTTCATCATTGTTCTATGTATTTATGTTTACTAAATTGCAGTTTTTTTTTTTTTTTTTTTTTTTTTTTTTTATGTTCCATGTTATTTATATATATATATTTTTTCATTATCTCATGATAGCAGTTCAAAAGTATCTCTTAAGTATATAGACTGGATGAAGAGGAAAGTTTTTCACCTTAAAACAAACTCTTATTTTTACTGTAAGCATTGATCTGCCTTAGTGTCATATTATATGTAGTATATTATTGCATAGTTTGGACTTGTTGTATGAAATAAAATACTCTGGTCAACAAAGTTAAAGCAGCATTTTTGTTTAGCAATTTTAATTAAAAATAATTGAATAAAATGTTATTGAACTCTCTAAAAATATCTTAATATAATGAAAAAGTAACAATGAATGCAATACAAAATGCAGATTAGCAACAATGATGTCAAAATTAAAGGCTGATGCGAAAATCATAAAAAAAAAAGTCATTCATTCATTCTTTCCTTACATTTTATAAAGGAAGGATTAGTTTGCCATGTCTGTCTCATGTGGACATTCCATATCAACATGAATGGTCATAAAATATCACATGGCAAATCATAAGAAAGTTGGAATCTTGGCAAAATGATTGGAACATAGAGACAGTCTGTCGAGCCAAAGTTAAATCGCTCAGTCGTAGATTTTGTATCTGTAGCATCTGATTTCGAGAGTCAGTACTCTTATACCCGAGAACCTCTGAGAGCGAGAGTAGAGTAGAATGTAATGTAACTGCATAAATAGTGCATCGCTGCTGTCTTATGAGTTCACGAATGCGCATTATTTTGTATCTAATAGGACTTTACACAAAGATTTGAAAATTGAAACTGTCATAGAGCATCTTCATCGCCTAAACTCCAGCTTTTTCCAGAAAGCAGTTACATGCCCTCACATGACAAAATTACATGTATTTGACTACATTCCACTACCGGAAGATAAAGAGTTACGACCGCTGGCAGCCCACCTAGCCAGAGATCTGAACTTTCCTACATAAAGTAGAACATTCCTGTATATCGTTGTACATATTGTATATAGCTTTTATGAATACTTTTATTATTATTTCATCGAAACTTCTATATGATTTCTGATCTTCCAAACTGCATTTTTGTCACTGTAACTCTATATTTGCAAATGTATGCCTTTGAGAGTTTGTATTCTTACAAACTCGTTCTGTCATGTAGTATACTTTCACAGTATCTTATCTTAAAAACTCATTATTGCTTTACCTTGCACAGCTCCGTCTGCAGCGCGTCTTCTTGTCTGGCCTAATTCCTAGGCTTGCAGCATCTTGCTCGACCCCCTTCTACCTCACCTCATTCTCTTAACTCCTACCACGTCAGACTTCCTACCGTCATGTGCCTACTGGCTCTCCTCATGAGCTGGAAACAGCGCGCTTCGTGCGCTACTCCAGCCATACTTGTTCGGATCAGATCGGATCTTATGAGTTAGTTAGAAATAAATGTTTGTGTCGTGAGCTAGTCTGTTTTGGTTGCGTCATGCATTTCACTGAAGCCACACCACTAGACACAACAAGTTGGCAACGAGACTGTGTGAGAAGAAAATCGTTTCCGTCTCGCCGCACTCGGGTACATGCGTAAGTACTAGCAAAACCAAAACTTGGATTTAGGGGATTCCCCAAAAACAGCAAAAGGTAGAAAAGTTATTTGATTTTTATTTTGGAAGGATGGAGAAGTTAATTGAAGAATTAATAAAGCAAAATGAAGCTTTAATGGTCGCATTGCAAGAGAAATCGGAACATAAAGAAGACAAAATTTCTTTTTCTTTTGATAACCTCGATGAAACGGTAGAAAATTTTGATTCATTCATAGAACGATTTGAGGCTTTTTTGGACATTCAAAATGTTCCAGAGGCAAAGCGTGGGAAAGTTCTGATCTCAAGCTTGAATGCGAAATTGTATAATTTGTTAAAAAATTTACTCTCTTCAGATAATCCTTCAGATAAAAATTTTACCGAACTAAAAAAAGGTTCTTAAGGATCGTTTAAATCCTAAAGCTTTAATAATACCTAGTTGGCACATGTTTATTAATAGAAAACAGCATGAGGGGGAATCAATTAGTAGTTATGTCGCTGAATTACGCTCGTTAGCGATTCCTTGTGAATATAAAGAGGATATGCTAAATACAATGTTAAGGGATGTTTTCGTTAGCGGTCTACGAGATTGTAATATCTTAGATCGATTATTTCAGGAAGATGATATCGATTTAGAGAAAACATTAAAGATAGCCTTGGCGATGGAAAAGGCGGTTAAGGGTGCAAATGAGATTATAGGAAATTCCGTAGAACTGAAGGTACTTAAAACCAAGAAAAATGAGTCCAAACCGCAGAAACAAAACTTTGTTGCTAAGAATAATAAGGGTAAAAATGAAACTTGTTCACATTGCTTAAGAGCAAATCACAATAAAAACAACTGTAGATTTGCAACAAGTGAATGCCGCTTTTGTAAAAAAATTGGACATATCGAAAAGGCATGTTATTTGTCTAAGAAAAACCGCCAGGTTAAACAAAACAAAGTTGAGGCAAATAATGATTATGATTCGAAAAATGAGGTCCCCATCTATGGATTTAACTCCAGAACGCACATGTTAAGAGACCGCCAATAATGCTTCAAGTTAAAATTGGAAACAAACCAGTTAGCATGGAACTTGATACTGGGGGAATAATTTCGGTAATGTCTATAATTAAATTTTGAAAAATTTCCGATTAAAAAGATTCAGCCTACAAATTTAGTTTTTAAAGCTTACAGGGGTGATAAGGTGGTGCCTTTAGGATGTGTTCCTGTTAAAGATGAATACCAAGGTCAAAAAGTAGTTTTAAATTTATACATTGTGAAGGAAAATTTGGACACAATCTTCGGCCGAGAATGGCTGTATAAAATCAATCTCGATTGGAATTCCATCAAAACATTGAAAACTTCTGGTGAATTGAATTTTAAAAAATTGCTTATATTAAGGATATAAGGAGTTATATTATATAAGGAGTATAAGGAAATTTTTGATGGTAAATTAGGTGAAATTAACAATCACGAAGTAAAATTAAATTTGAAACCTAATACTCAACCAATATTTTGTAGGTCACAACCAGTACCTTTCACATTAAAAAATAGAGTTGAATCAGAAATTGATCTGCTTGAGAAAAGGTATTGAGACTTCAGAACGGGCAACACCAGTTGTGCCAATTGTTAAATCCGATGGTTGCATTAGGTTTGTGCTGATTATTCTGTGACTCTGAATCCTAATTTGGAAATGCCACAGCATCCATTACCAAAACTCGAAGAAATATTTTCATGCCTTAATGGAGGTAAAAAATTTTCGAAACTTGATTTCAGTCATGCATACTGAATACTACTACAAATGAAGGTGCATCCGGAGAGCCAACGGTTATTAACAATAAACACGCATAAGGGGTTGTATATTTGTAAATGCTTAATGTATGGATTAAATGCTGCCCCAGCTATTTGGCAGCGCCATGTTGAGGGATTATTTCAGGGGATCGAAGGAATTAAAATTTTTATGGATGATGGTTGAGTGACAGGACCGGATGATGTCTCATTTAAAAGCATTGGAAATATTTTTCAAAAAATGCAAGGAGCATGGCCTAAAATTAAACTTAACTAAAAGTAAATTTTTTCAAAATGAGGATTAAATTTTTAGGGCATAAAATTCGATGCCGATGGATTGCATAAAACGGATGAAAAGATTTCGGCAATTGCTAATGCCCCTATGCCGAAAGGCGTCCAAGACATCAAAAGCTTTTTGGGATTAGTAAATTTTATGCCAAATTTTGCCCTAATTTGGCAACTTTGGCACAGCCCTTAAATAATTTAACAAAAAAGATGTTAAATGGAGTTGGTCAAAAAACTGGCAAATCGCTTTTGAAAAAATAAAAAAGGAAATTTGTTCAGACATAGTTTTAATGCATTACGATTCCACATTACCGTTAATGCTAGCTACTGATGCATCTCCGGTAGGTCTTGGGACAGTGTTCTCGCATGTTTTGTCTGATGGAACAGAAAGGCCTATAGCATTCGCATCGAGGACACTGACTAACAGAGCAGAAATACGCCCAAATCGATAAAGAAGCACTGTCAATTGTTTGGGCTGTCAAAAAGTTTTATCTATATGTACAGGGGGGACGCTTTTCTCTGGTGACAGATCATAAACCTTTAGTGGCTATTTTCAAATCGAAAAGATCCTCACAGCCACCCGACTCTTACATTATGCACTGATATTGCAAGCATATCAGTTTGATATTGTGTATCGAAATACCAAGGAACACGTTAATGCTGACTGCCTGTCGCGCCTACCTCTTAAGTCCGAAAATTTAAGCATTAAAGATGATTTTGAAATATTCCAACTCTCCCAAATTGAAACTCTTCCGGTAACAGGTAGGGAGATAGCTTGAAGCTGATGAAGACAAGCTGATGAAGAATTAAATAGTCTTTATATGAAATTAAAATCTGGAGAAAGTTTGGAAGGTAGAGAAGCCGAGTACGCCTTACAAGATGACTGTATAATGAGTAGTCAGAGGGTAGTTGTTCCGAAAAAACTCCGAGTTAAAATTCTCGAAGAGTTACACCAAGGACATTTAGGAATCGTTAAAATGAAGGCAATCGCCAGATCCTTCCCCCTTTTTTTTTTTTTTTTTTTTGGAAGGGAATTCATCATGATATTGAAGAAGTTTTCCAGGAACTGTGTCGATTGTATTAAGTTCAAATCAGATCCAGTAAGGGCAAGGGTCCATCACTGGGAATATCCAAGTGCGCCTTGGGAACGCATTCACGTAGATTTTGCAGGCCCTATTTTTGAACGAATGTTCTTGATTATCATTGACGCATATTCTAAATGGCTAGAAGTGTATACCTTAAAGTCAGCAAATTCCTTTCAGACAATTGAATGGTTGAGAGACTGTTTTGCAAGATATGGACTGCCTTTAGTCGTAGTGAGTGACAATAGTCCTCAGTTCACATCGGGGGAATTTGAAACTTTTATAAGGAATAATGGAATTAAACACAAAATGTATGCTCCATTTAAACTGGCAAGTAACAGGCAAGCAGAGTGGTATGTTTACACCGTTAAACAAGCATTACGTGCAATGCAAGGTTATCCAGGAAATATTAAGCAAAAACTTGCTGTATTCCTCATGAATTATAGAAAGGCACCGAGCATGACAACCTTGTTAAGTCCAGCAATGTTATTCTTAAAAAGAGAAATTAGAATTTGAATTGATTTAGTTGTTCTGAATCTTAAACGAAGAGTGGAAGAACGCATTCGAAGGAATACTTATGATTTCAAAGACAGAAATTTTGAGATCGGAGAAAAGGTTGCCATTCGGGATTATAGATCGGCAAATTCCCGATGGAAAATTGGCAGAGTGACAAACAAGGATGGAGCGCGGCATTATACCATTGACATTCAAGGAACTTTACTGCACCTGCACATCGATCAGATCAGATCGGTAGGAAGCGAGGTTCCGTCTGCACCGGTAATCTATGAACCTCGTATGGCTGCTACTTCAGATGGCAACGTGAAGCCACAAGCTCCGGACAAGGACATTGAACAAAGAAGTGAAGCTGTGAAAACTTCAGCTGGACTTAAAACATCGTCAGTTCCAAGGAAAACTGAGCCAGTCATTCCAGTGGATCCTGATAAAGAGTTGCAGCAACCTCAGCCAGGACTTAGACGATCTTTGCGCATCCGCAAAGCTCCTCAGAGATTAAATCTCTAAATAAGTGGGGAGGGATGTAGCATCTGATTTCGAGAGTCAGTACTCTTATACCCGAGAACCTCTGTGAGCGAGAGTAGAGTAGAATGTAATGTAATTGCATAAATAACACATCGCTGCTGTCTTATGAGTTAGTTAGAAATAAATGTTTGTGCCGTGAACTAGTCTGTTTTGGTTGTGTCATGCATTTCACTGAACCCACACCGCTAGACGCAACAGTATCAAAAGACAGGAAGTATATAAAGATGTCTTAGTCAAAATTATTCAGAGTTGCCACTTCACACAATAGCTGTTGCTTATTAATAAATGTCCTTCTGAAGATTTCTTCAATGAAGACAGCTTTTAACCAGAACAGGAGTACTGACACAAATGATTTTCAGATGCCTTCACTCATGTGGATTGTACACATGTAGGCTAGTTTTTTATATTCCAACAATCTCCCAACATCTTCGGAATCAAAGAAACTGTGGTGAAGAATGCTATTTAGGGAAGTATGGAACAAGTTTGCTTCCCTGGTGAGCCTAGATGCTGAATACACAATAAGCTTAGGTAGGCATACTGGCCTCTACATTTTTCTGATATAATCCTTGACTGCTGAAAGGCACAGGTACAAAATTTTTAGACTTCTGGTTATGCTTTATTTTGCTGCAATCTGGGATTTAACCATTTTCACATATAATAATACCCAACACTATTGAGTATGCCATGTAAACCAGATGCCTTGAAGAACAAAAACATTAAACCATATATAGTGGCCAGCATGCTGTCTGGATTTGAATCTAATAGAATATGTTTGGAATACATTAGGCAGATGCTTTGCAGTTCATCCTCAAACATCATTGATGCAACTTCATTTGAAAAATACCCTCCTTGAAAAGTGGGGAAAAAATCTTCAGATAACTCATAAAACTTCTTAAGTTCAGTGTCCTGTTAGGGTAAAGCCATGTTGCTTGTTTGATGAATTAATTATTTAGACAGTTGAATTATTAGACAGCTGTCAAAGTTCATCAGTGCTTATTTTGTCTTCCCCAGAATGTCCCTTTTTATGGCACCAAAAGTTTTTCCTGAAAATTTATCTTTTTTTACATTTAAACATGATTTTTCACTTATTCTACTCTTTTATTTTCATATACTCTTTTGTAACTATATTTTTATAACGTGATTCATATGTATGAACATTTGTTTATTCTCACTAAATCATCTACTTCCCTAATTTTACTGAGATATATGTATGATTGTATTGTATAACTTATTTTGCAAAACTTGAGTAGATAGTAGAGCAAATAATTCTTAAATAGCATTTATTAATGAAAAATTCTAAAAAATTTTAAAACAAATTCTTTGCTCTTTGTTTCTTAATTAAAAAATGTTTAAGGGAGAAAAATTTAATTTAATTTAAATTAATGAATATCTTTGTAATATCACAATAAGTAAAAGAAAATATTTCAAACATCTGATAATGAAATAATTATATCTCTTTGAAACATACTTTTTTTTTTTTTTTTTGTTCATGTTTGCAAATTTTTTATGTTTATGAACTAAAAGTAAAATCATTAAGTTATGCCATACATACTTCACATGTTTTATTGATATCTTATATTTTTTTACCTTTTTTCATTTGCATTTGTATTATGTTTTTTCCATTAGAGTTTAGAACACAGTGTCATGGTACAGATTTAAAGTTAAAAATTGTTGTAGCTTACTGCTTCTAAAAAACATTATCAGATCTAATAATACAGATACCTTAATGTGAAAAAAACTTAATTATTTTCAGCTCTGTAATTTTTTTTATTAAATAAGTTTTTTGATCAATTTTATAATTTTTTGTTGCATGATATAGTTAAAAAAATCCATATTTTTAGTTAATTATGAGAAGCATACTCTGAGTAACCTGAAAAGTGTTTCTTTTTGGATTATTTCCATGTAGTTCTAAAGTTAAAGCAAGTTGTATACTCTAAATTTTATTTCCAAAGCATTGTTACTAAATGAAAAATTTTGTGCCTGCCAGAATACAGCCTGATTTTGACATTAATTTGAAATAAAAGTGCTCATCAGTTCGAGAGCTTGATCTTTCAGAATTCATTAAATTTTATCATGTTACCACATGTTAATTTATACTAGTTATTAATATTTGCTATACATTTCAGAATTTATACTTTTTAATGTTTAAAATTTTTGGCAAAAATGAGTATCTTATCGTGGCTTTTTTCTCCCATTTTTAGGTAGCCCGTAATAAAGATGTCCGTGTAATGATTGATGCAGAACAGTCATATTTTCAACCAGCAATCAGCAGAATCACTATGGAATTGATGCGTAAATATAACAAAGAGAAAGCTATTATTTTCAACACTTACCAGTGTTACTTAAAGGTATTATTCTAAATGCCTGGTTTGAATGTTGTGGGCACAGTTTTGAATATAACTAATAATTAATTTAATAATGTATCCTGTAATAATAATTAAAAATTAATGCTAAACTAGAACTATTTATACAGTCTTGCAATTCATTTAATTTTTTTTTTTTTTATAAAAATATTTTTATAAGTACATTCTGGGTGAAATTACATAAACTTACATAAAATTATTCTGTGTTTACTTCATATCTGTCAGCAACAGTTTCTTAATTGCATTCTTAATAGCATAAAATGGCAGGTAACTTTTTTGAGCAACATTTTTTTTATTCTAGTGTTTTTCTTAAAATATGCGGTGCTTTTATAAATTCGATTGAAGATGGTGTGTCATCCCTTTTTCTGCATCACTTCTATCTGTCAATTTTTGCTGTTTTTTTACCACTTTTGTTCAGCTTTTAATGTCTCAATATTGTGGTGAATTTGCACATATTTTAAAAACTTTTTCCTTCATTCTGTCACTGATGTCTGAAACATTAGCTGTTGTTTGCAGTTCCTTTTAGGCTTCTTCTATATAAAAGCCACATTTTCAAAGTGCTTACATTTTCAAGGAATTCAATTTTTTTCATCATTTTCTGAACATCTTTTTTGTAATGATGTTTAATAACTTTTATAATACATTAAACTTAAAGGAATGTCCGAAGTTTTATTTTGCAGAAAGATATATTAATGTTTTTCAGAAAAATCCCACAGGTGTATGTGCTGAAGTTATCTAATTAGTAAAACTATTTTTTGAGTTTTTAGTTCATTCTCCCATTTCAAAAGAAAATCGTTAAAAAAAATACTTCTCATTAAATATTTTTTGTTGCTATGGTAAGTTTGAAGAAAATTCTTCGCTCCTTTCAAACATTGAGGTTTTCTGCTTTTGTCAATAATGAGTGCTAATTATTGGGTTTGTATTGCAAGTTAATAACATAGTAACTTATTTCTTCAGTTTCTTAAACCAACTGCTGTTTCACTTTTAAATATTAATGTATGGTTCTGTAACACTGTCTAGTTTCATCTGTATTATAAATTTCATGTGGTTTATATTCATTTAGCAACTTAAGTTGAACGTCTTTTTTCCAGTTAATCAGCTGTGTGATGATCTGCTTCATCCTTCTCACCAGACAGTTTCTGATAAACAATGCTGGATTTTTCTTTCTCTACGTTGTGAACCATTTGTCATTTGATATGAAGTTCTCTCTCAGTATTAAGAGAAAATTGAAAAAAGCTTTAAATAATTTTTAAATTTAAATTATTACCTTGTATTATTAATTATTATTATTTAATTACCTTGACACCATTCTAGAAAGGCAGTTTCAGTGTCTCTTGGTTTTCTGTATTTTTTGCGCTTCCTTGAGATGTTTGCATGTTCTTCATTAATTGTAATTCCTTATTTAAGTACCGTAATTTCAGGAAGAAATGCTATGATGCTTACGTGTTTACAATTTAAATTTTCAGCGGGTGCGGCGTTTCTACCCATGCGGCGTTTAGGTGCACTAAAAGTAAAATATTTCCTATGATGGTCATTGTACATAGTTTGAATAACTTTGTCATTGTACATAGTTTGGATAGCCTTGTCATTGTACATAAACTGGTGCTGTTCCCACGCAAAAGACCACTCAGTTGCTTTTTGCAAACATTATTTTGTTTATATTCTTTCCCTTGAACAGACCTACATGTCTTATTCACCCTAAACGGAATCTCAGAACAATAACATTCTTCCCCCCTTTCAAATCAGCATTCTCATCATTTTGAATAGTCTCTCTCCTCTGCCTTCGATGAATCTTCCAGGGCCCATCCTCTCCCCGCCCCTGCCTTTTCTGCAATTTTTTTCAAAGGCCTGCCTCGCCTCAGCATGAATCGATTTTTCTTGGCATTCTGCCAGATACAGATCTCATCAGTTTGGGTACAAGTATTTGTTGGATAGTTTTAAGTAAGAAGAGAGCGGAAAATTTTTGAAAATGGCACCTAAACGGCACAGAAGCTATACTGCTGGTTTTAAGCTTAATGTAATTTCACGTGCTGAACAAATTTGGAAATAGAGCAGCAGCTCGAGAGTTTGAAGTAGACAAGAGATGTATTCGACGTTGGAGAACTGAAAAAGAAGAACTTAAAAATATGCCACAACAGAAACAAGCCAAAAGAAGTGGTACTGTAAGGTGGCCGAATCTAGAGGATGACCTTGCAAACTGGATAAAGGAGCAACAAGGAAAGGGAATGGCAATTTCGACTATAAAAATTTGCTTACAAGCAAAATTTATAGCAAAACAAATGAACATAAATGATTTCAAAGGAGGGCCTTGCTGGTGTAGCAGATTTATGAAAAGAAAAAATATTTCTGTGTGTACTAGAACAACAGTCGGGCAACAATTACCAATGGACTAGCAGGATAAAAAGGCATCTTTTCTAAAATATGTGATAGATATTATTGACAAAAAAAAAAAAAAAAAAAAAAAAAACTTCTTCAGTCACAGATAATAAATATGGATGAAATGGCGTTAGCTTTCGACTCTCCTGCAAACAGAACTGTTATGAAACTGGTGCAAAAACTGTATCTGTGCTTACAACGGGGAATGAAAGAACGTCATTGACATGTGTGTTAGCTTGTGCGACAAACGGTGACAAGCTATAGCCGATGATCATTTTTAAACGAAAAACTATTCCAAAGGGAGATTTTTCCTAATGACGTAATTATCTGTGCAAACGAGAATGACTGTATGTGTGAAACAATCATGCATGAGTGGCTATAAAAAGTTTGGCAGTGTCGTAAGGGATCTTTTTTCTAACCAAAAGGGTTATTGATAATGAATTCCATGCATGCTCATTTACTTGAATCAGTGAAAACCAGATGTCAAAAATTGTCTGCAACCATAGCAATAATTCCTGGTGGTTTGACAAAAATCTTACAACCACTAGATTTGTCAGGTCCTTCAAAGCTGAAGTCCGAAAGCAGTGGGAGTGTTGGATGAGTGAAGGATTGCATACGTATACCAAATGCAGTAAAATGCGTAGAACATCTTATGAAGAAGTTTCAAAGTGGGTAGGAAGTGTGTGGAAATCGGTAAAACATCGTCAATGATAGCAGGGTTCAAAGAAGCTGAAATTATATCCTTAGATAAAGAGACTGTAAACCAAGAGGATGAATGTGACCATCTGGAAAACTTGGTCTTAGATCAGGATTTACTAAATCTTTTTAATTCAGATAGTGAAGAATCAGATTTTGATGGCTTCATATGATGTATATTTTGCTGTTATTCCTTTTGTAAGTAAAATTTAAAATTTCCTTTTGTCATCCAAATTTAATATTTCGTTGTTGCAACATTTTTTATAATATAGTCTGAGTATTACAAATATGGACTTCTTTAGTGGGTAAATATAAGATATTCGTTAATGTAAATATATTTTCAACATTTCTTACCTTTAATTTATTTTTGAGTTATGGTTTCATTTCATGCATTTTTCTTAACTGATATATCAGGACATAGGTTGAGATTTTGCATCTATACGGCCCATGATGATGCCACGCACAATTTAATCTATTGCGGCGTTTCTGTGTAATTTAAATTTTTTTTCCTGCCATTTTTCTCGAGTGCGACATTTACGCTGATGCAGCCTTTCTTCCGGAAATTACGGTAAATTACACAATGCTTTTTGGAAAATTCCCAGTTTAAATGTAGTATCTCTACGGCTTCAGTTAGCTTGAAATAAGAGTATTCAATTACTAAGAATATTATCATTTATCCTCTTATTTCAAGTGTAAGTCTTTTTGCTTTATTTTTTTGGGGCGGGGATGCATTTGACATATGTCTTAACACTTTCGCTGCCTATCATGTCAGGTTATATATTTTGATAGTTAATGCTTTCTCATGGCAGTAGGTTGTACCCATATGCTGACTTACTTATTACAAGAAATATGATTTAAAAGAGATAATAAAAGATTATTATATGTACCACATTAATTATTAAGCCTCTAAGCATCGTGTGATCGGCAGTAGAGGTGAAATTACTTCTGCAATGCCACATTACGAGCTGGCATGAGGCATTTAAAAGTGAATTAAAATAAGTAACAATATGCACATTATTTTGATATGAAGCTATATCAGAAACAAATATATATATTACAAATGAATTCATTATAAGATAGTTACAATGAAATTATTGCAAACTATATATTTTAGAATGTTATTCGTCTGTTATCTTTATATGAAATGAAACTTTGTTTCCATTCCAAACCACATACATTTACTGTTGTAAAACATTTTTATAGCTTCGAAATTTCACAACAAATTAATAAAAAATAGAGAGCAAAATGATTCTTCTTACCTTGTATCCTGTGCAGCATCAAGCGAGATCATACCTAATTAACATGTAATCCAACATAGGTGTAGACGGAAATTTTAAGATCACAAAACACATTCTTTATTAATACATGAAAAAAGATAAAAATTCATTAGTATTCCAAATACGTATTGAAAAAGGGAGTTATAGAGAGTGTCATATCACTGTCCTTTCCTGAAGGAATGAGAAAAGTTAGTGTAAAGAATAAGAGAGTTACACAACTCTTTTGCAGAGTTTCCAGTTCATACAGTTTATCAGGCTATTGGCGACAGTCCATTACTATATGCATACCAACACCCCTACTTGATGGGCAGGATCGCCATTTGCAGCAATTCTCGAAGTTTCTCAAACACAGGCTTGCCTAGTGGTTTGGTGAGTAGATCTGCAATCATGTCGGAGCTTCTGCAGTAGTCTAGGCTCAGGATCCCGTTTTGTTGAAATTCACGCAAGTAGTGGTATTTCACGTCTATATGCTTTGTTCTGCAGCTATTTTTCTCCGTTTGTGATAGTTTGATGCATGATTTGTTATCTTCATAGAGAGTAATCGGCAGATTTTGTTTTAGTCCTAGGTCTTTAAGCAAATTTAACAGCCATTGTGCTTCTTGTGCTGTATTAGCTGCTGTAATATATTCTGCTTCA